AAGTGCAAAGCTTGAAGCTCCTATTTCCACAGTAAGATCGCTGGAAACATCAGAGATTGGCCTGCAAAATGGAAACGTTATTAAAAGGGAATTGAAGAGAGACAAGAAAACTAAAAACCAAGTTATAATTTAGAATTGCATGCATACATGTTGATAGGTACCAACATGTCCGAAACTTTGCAGGAGCTTCTTCTATATATTTCCATGAAAGAACACTACACAATTTATGTTCAACCTAAGAACAGTGGAACATCTCAAACATATGGACAGAGTGATCCTCCCTAGCGACTAATTATTCGATAGGGACGACTCAATAATTTCAAAATGAGTGGATTGCAGTTTGCACAGGCAGTAAGGCCAGATATGCCAAAGGATTAAAAAGTTGATTTAAAGTTTGAAGAACTTGCTTTGCTCCTGAAATGGAACCAAATTGGCCAAATTCACCGGCCTTACAAAAATACAGGGGCACCATGTGGGGTCCTTTAAGATTAACAAGCTAGCAGGGTGTGGATTTGCTTGTTGTTACTCTATGTAAAGCTAGAAGATTTGTCATACTCGGTGACCAAATGTACAACTTGTCCGTACATGTTTTAGCCTTGAGGGCCTACAGATGACAAAGGCGCAAAAATAATTGATATGCAAGAAGGCATTAACTGCGTTTGGCAGTTGGCACTTCAAAATGTTGACAGTGAAACATAGCACCATGTGGACAGCAATTCGCCTGGACCTCGTGCCACTGTCGTTTTGATTTGGTGGTGTCAGGTAGAAGGTCACGGGTTCACGGCCATGAGATGTTATCTTCCATAAAATTTAGGGAGACCTCAGTAGCTCAGCTTAGGTTGATTTGTAGATGATAAACCCAGGCTCTGACTTGGACAAATTAAATACCAAAAAAAGATGCAACAAACGAACTCTGGGGCACCAAAATTAAATGCCTTTTGGTAGGTGGAAACTAAACTACCATGAGACGAGTAGCTAGAGAAAATGAGGCTGAAATTCAAAGACACAAACTTTCTGGTGTGTTTTGTGTGTATGAGTTTTTACTCTTGAAACTAGCAAACTAAATGCAGGTAACTAATCAAAAGCTAGCAGAGAAGGAGAACATTACCATTCTGTGGCATGCCTGATACTGGAACTTGGACGAAACGACCGCTTCCCTGAAATGCTAGGCTTCAGTTCACCAATGGTGACAACACCCATCTTTCCTCAAACACCTAGAGTTCAAATTTCCCACTGAAAATTCTGCAACACCAATCCCACTACCAAAGTTCAGAAGTGTAACTCTTTCAACACTATAACTAGCGCCCACTAAAAACCCAACTCATAGTGTATTTTCAGTTGCATAACAAATCATTTAGTTTTCTGACAGATGGTCTGATTGCTTTCTCTCTGTGTCTCTCTCTGTCATGTGTGTGTGAGGGAAGAGAATGCTGGAGTGAAGAGAAAGTCACATGAATCCATGCAGGAACAAAAGGGTTGATGATGACTTTGAAACACAAATGCTTTTAATGAGTGTTGATAATGAGTTTAATATGTAGAAGTCAAGGAATTGTAGCTGCACTTGAACTTTTCGGTGAAAGGTAGTGAGGGAGAGGAAGTGACCTTTCTTTTACATGGTTTTTGTTTTTGAGGAATTGCAGGATTCCTGAGGGGTTGCAGTGCTTTTGGGGGTTGTAATCATGGCCATTGAAAGCAACCCACCGAGCATAAAATAGCTTTTGCTTAAATTAAGTCTCTATTATGTGTAAAGCTCACTAAAGTAGAAATTAAAAAGGATGAGTGGGATTAGATGTTATTATGAGAACCACAAAACTTCCACTTAAAATATATTTATCATAGAAAATTCTAGTCTAAAGTCCAGTATCACTCTTAGAAACAAATTTAACGCAAGTGCTTTTCTTTTCTTTTTTTTACCATTAACATAGAATGGGGAATTCGAGGAATGCACAGACTCACGGTCAC